TCTGAAGCCCATTAGAATGTATAAGAACAAACTAAGGCCGTGATGGTGAACCTATGATACGCGTGGCAGCACTGACACACATGGCTATTTTTGATGACACGCGGCCACATGCGGCCGCATACAGAGAAGTACACCTTATAAGAGCCAATCTAATTCCATCCTAAAATTCGTAAAAGGCTCTACAAATTTAACATCTGCATGTTTGAGCATTGTTCACTCCATAACTCAGCATGGAATATACATTTTTCTTATTTAAACTATAAATATTGCAAAATTACGTTTATTTTTTCTCAAAGTTGACACCCCACTCAAGTTATGCTCAGGTTTTTGGCAAATTTTAACACACCAAACTCAAAAGGTTGCCCATCACTGGACTAAGGTATGGTTGACAAGACTCCTAGAGTTGGAAGAGGCCATATAGTCCAACCCTCTTCCTTCTGCCCAGCAGAAAAAAACACCATTAAAGCACTCTTGGCAGATGTCCATACAAGTTCGGAAGTCCTTTTCGGGGCTTCCAAGAGGATTGGCAAGGCTTTCCTCCGCCGAAAGGATACATCTTTTCCTTTGCAAGATCCTGGGGATGACCAAGCCATCTCTCCACAATCGAAGCCTCCCTTTCCCCCCCCCCCTCTCTTTTTCTCCCAAGGGGGCCACTGATAGATTAAATCCCAGCACAGGAGGCGGCGGGTCGATAATAGAACGTGTGCCCAGGTCCTCACTCACAGGCAGGCAGGCCTTGACAAGCCTGGGCCTCTAATTAAAACCTGACGCTGGGAATTAAAGAAAGTTCGGACAGAAGCAAGTTGCAGGCAGCATTGGGATCCTCGCTCAGCATCCTCCTCCAAGGGGGTGCATATCCACACTCTCTTCCGGACTACAGCTCCCAGCATCCCCTAGACCAGGCCCTTTAGGAGAGGATGCTCCAAATACACTGCTTCCAAGATGCAAGCTTTCTTCTCCTTGGATTTCCTTGAGAGCACCCCAATCCCGGCATGTTTCCAATTTCCTATTCCTGGACTGCAACTCCCAGCAATCCTCCAGATAGATAGATTAGATAAAGATAGATAGGTAGGAAGATAGATCGATCAGGAGGGCTGCTGGGAGTTGCAGTCCAAGAATAGGTAGAAAAGGAAGAAAGGGGAGAAAGAGGAAGGGAAAAAAAGGTTGGGGAAGAAGGAAGGGAAGAAGAAGAGAAGGAAGGAGAGAAAGAAAGAAAAAAGGGAAGGAATGAAAGAGGGAGGGAAGAAAGGAGAGAAAGAAGAGAAAAAGGGAGGGAAGGTTGGCCACAGCAATGCGTGGCGGGTACAGCTAGTTCTTAATATTGGGGAGACAGCGAGCAGGCACATCGGAACTCTCCTCAAAAATGAGTTCATCCAAATAACTTATGATTCCTGAATACATCCGAATAACTTACGACTCCTGAATACGTCCGAATAACTTACGACTCCTGAATACATCCGAATAACGACTCCTGAATACATCCGAATAAGTTACGACTTCTGAATACGTCCAAATAACTTACGACTCCTGAATACATCCGAATAACGACTCCTGAATACATCCGAATAAGTTACGACTCCTGAATACGTCCGAATAACTTACGACTCCTGAATACGTCCGAATAACTTACGACTCCTGAATACATCCAAATAACTTATGGCTCCTGATTACATCCGAATAACTTACGACTTCTGAATACATCCGAATAACTTACAGCTCCTGATTACATCCGAATAACTTACGACTTCTGAATACGTCCGAATAACTTACGACTCCTGAATACATCCAAATAACTTACGACTTCTGAATACATCCAAATAACTTACGTCTTCTGAATACATCCAAATAACTTACGACTCCTGAATACATCTGAATAACTTACGACTCCTGAATACATCTGCACCAAACACACACCTCTTCTATCTATCTATCTATCTATCTATCTATCTATCTATCTATCTATCTATCTATCTATCTATCTAGGGTTCCTCGCTTTCTCCTCCACGTGTTCCTTCTTCTGTCCTGCAAATGGAGATGCCAATGATGATGATGATGTCCTGCAAATAAATATAATAGTAATAGGGATTAATACTAACCACTATTAATAATTAATGTTATTATTATAAATATATAATAATTTATTAATGATTAATTATTACTAATTATTAATAATATTACTAATAATATTGTATAATGAGGTTAATACTAATTGTTACTTCAAATCATTAATAATATTACTACTAATATATGTATTATTAATATTACTAATTATTGTTAAAATATTTTATATGTATGTATGCATCAAGCTAGGGGCCCATGGTGGCGTAGTGGGTTGTACTGCTGAGCTGCTGAACTTGCTCACCAAAGGTTGACAGTTCGAATCCAGGGAGCGGGCTGAGCTCCCGCTGTTACCCCAACTCCTGTCAACCTAGCAGTTCGAAAACATACAAATGTGAAATCAATACTCTGGCAGTATGATAACGGCACTCCATGCAGTCATGCTGGCCACATGACCTTGGAGGCGTTTATGGACAACACCGGCTCTAGAAATGGAGATGAGCACCACCCCACAGAGTCAGACACAACTAGACTTAATGTCAGAGTGAAACCTTTACCATATATATACAGTATACACGCACACACATACATATATACATACTTACATACACTGTAGTAATAATAATAATAATAATAATAATAATAATAATAATAATAATAAGCCAGCAAAGTGATCTTGTTTGCTGTGGACTCATCTTGTTGTGTTAATAATAATAATAATAATAATAATAATAATAATAGGAATATATATATATATATATATATATATATATATATATATATATACACACACTAGCCGTCCCCTGCCATGCGTTGCCGTGGCCCAGCCTGCCAATCTGGAAAATAAAGTAATGAGAAAGTGTTGGTTTCTAATATATGTAATGACTTTTTACTTGTGGGTAAACAGTATTTCTTGCTGTTTCTTTGTCAGTGTAGATATAGAGATTGTCTGGTTTGCCTACTCTGGAACAGAACATGCAACATATCATTGTCCTTCTTTCGGGGTCCCTTTCAACTCTATGATACTATATCTGTGTGTGTATGGGTGTGTGTGAATCATATCTATCTATCTATATCTATGGCTAGATGGCTGTTTCTCAGGAGGGCTTTGATTACGTTTTCTTGCCCTGGTGAAGGGAGTTGGACTGGATGGCCTTAAGTATTTTCGGTTGGTCATGGGGGTCCTGTGTGGGAAGTCTGCCTCAATTCCGTCATTGGTCAGGTTTAGAATGCTCTTTGGTTGTAGGTGAACTATAAATCGCAGTAACTACAACTCCCAAATGTCAAGGTCTATTTCCCCCAAACTCCATCTGTGTTCACATTTGGGCATATGGAGTATTTGAGCCAGGTTTGGTCCAGATCCATCACTGTTTGAGTCCACAGTGCTCTCTGGATGTAGGTGAACTACAACTTCCAAATTCAAGGTCAGTGCCCACCAAACCCTTCTAGTGTTTTCTGTTGGTCATGGGAGTCCTGTGTGCCACATATGGCTCAATTCCATTGTTGTTGGTGTTCAGAATGCCCTTTGATTGTAGGTGAACTATAAATTCCAGCAACCACAACTCCAAAATGACAAAATCAAATTTTTGAGTGAAGGACATACATTGGGTTGTTAGGTGTATGCTGTCCAAATTTGGTGTCAATTCTCCCAGTGGTTTTTGAGTTCTGTGAATATCACAAACGAACATTACACACACACACACACACACACACACACACACACACATATATATATATATATAAAAATCAGGATACAATATACTTAAACTAAAGACAAAACACAATTATCGAATACATAGAACAAAGATGAAAAAATAATAAATGGAGTATATATATCCCATTTAGTATGATTATTACAGTAATTAATTATTTTTATTTTTATTACTAATATCCTTAGTATTTTCCCAACAAACAGACTGCATTATGGAATAAGCAAGTGGAGAAGCATAAGCTTTTCTTATCAGGATAGGTTCAGAAGCCCTCCTTATGAGGTTGAGAGAGTTGACTCAGTTCCCATGTAATCAAGGAAGGATTCGAACCTTGGGCTCCTGGAACCCACAACATAAAAACACTACCATGTATTGTTTCTCAAGAGAGCATCCATAGGGTTAATTTTGACACATTTTTAATATGTATTTTGCGAAACAGTAAGGAAAGACCGAGACAAAGTAGAGGCACACCACGCTGTTTGCAGTGGTGCAAACATCACTGTTTTATTGAATGGGACGACTGCAGAGAGACTGCAATGGAGCACTCCAGCATTGAAAGACCACCTTTTGGGGAAGCTCCCTCTTAGACGTGGGAAGACCTGGGGAAAAACTGGGGAAAAAAAACAGGCGGGGAAAAATTGGGAAAAAAGCAAAGCAAAAAAATTAAGGGGGAAAAACAGGGAGAAAACTGAAAAAAGAGAAACCTGAGAAAAAACTCTAATTTCCCATTAGAGATGGGAAGGCCTGGAAAAACCCCAGAAATATTGGGCGGGGGGGAATGGGAGGGGGGATAAAAAGTGGGGGGAAATAAAGAAAGAAAAACAGAAAAAAAACTGGGGGGAAACAGGAAAAAAACTTTTTTCAAGGCCTTTCCATCTTTCTTTCCCATTAGAAATGGGAATACTGGGAAAGAAACTGGAAGAAATGGGGGAAATCAAGGAAAAAACAATATAATTGGAGGGAAAATGGGGGGGGGGGGGAGGGGAGGAGGAACGAAGAACAACAACAACAAAAAAACCACCCAGAAAAAAACTGTTTTCCTGACATCCCCATCTTTATTCCTCATTAGAGGTGGGAAGGCCTGGGGCATAACCCAGAAAAATGGGGGAGGGGAATGGGAAAAAAATTGAAAAACAACGGAAAAAGACAAAGGAAAAAACAAAAAAACAAAAACAGGAAAAAATGAAAAAAAGGAAACATGGGGGGGGGGACCTCTGAAAAAATGGTGAAAAATGAGGGAAAAAATCCGAAAAAAACTTTTCCAAGCCTTCACATCTTTATTCCCCATTAGGGCAAGGGAAGGCCTTGGAAAAAACTGGAAAAATCGGGGGGAAATTGGAAAAAAAAAACTGAAAAAAAAATGGGGAGGTGAATGACTGGGAAATAACTGGGAAAAAATAGGAAAAATCCTGTTTTCCAGGCCTTCCCATCTCTATTCCCCATTAGAAGCAGGAAGACCTGGAAAAAAACAAAAAAATAAAAAATGGGAAAAATGGGGGAGGGGGGGGGGATGAAAAGAAAAAAAAGAAAAAAATCTGGGAAAGACTGGAAAAAAACTGTTTTCCAGACCTTCCCCTCTCTGCTCCTCATGCTCTCCTTTCGGTTCAATGGGACCACGTCGAATTCAGCATCATAAAAGAGGCCAGGATTCCAAAGAGTGTCAATACTTGGAGTGAATTCCCTCAAAAAGGCTCTCCTTGCGGCAGAAAGTCAATGTCCGGATTGCGGAATGGTCCTGTTAGTTGAAGCTTCCACACGGGATGGTCCTTACACAACGTGACCCCCACAATTTTACCCACATATTGGGGGGGGGGGAAATCCCTCCATTTACTGCCGGCAAGTGTCATGGAAGGCCTCCAAGGTGCGGAAGTCTCTCCAGGTGGGAGGCAGGCCATCTTGGAGAAACTTCCCACAGCGCTGGCAGGGCGCCTGGAACAGCTTGATGTAACTCCGGAGCCAAGTCTGGAAGAGAAGGAAGGAAGAGAGTGTTCACTAGAGCCCTGAAACACCTTTTCAACATGAATCACACTCTGTCCAGGTAATCCAGTAAGGTTTTTTTTGTTTGTTTTTGTTGTGTCAGGAGCAAGTCGCTTCTGGTGTGAGAGAATTGGCAGTCTGCAAGGACGTCGCCCAGGGAACACCTGGATGATTTGATGTTTTTATCATCCTTGTGGGAGGCTTCTCTCATGTCCCCGCATGAGGAGTTGGAGCTGATAGAGGGAGCTCATCCGCCTCTCCCCGGATTCGAACCTGCGACCTGTCCTGCCGGCACAGGGGTTTAACCCACTGCGCCACCGAGGGCTCCACATTCAGTAAGTAGAAGTTTTATATATATATGGAAATTCAAAACAGAGAATCAAAGTTCAAAATGTTATTTCCAAGACAGCCAAGAGTCCAAAATCCTTTTTCCAGAGTCAATCCACATAAACAAGAGAGAAAGATCCAAGGCAGGCAACGTATGCCACACATTAACTAGAAGCAAGAATACACTCAGAAACTTGAATTCACCAATTCCAAGAACATAGGATCAAAAACTGAGAGCTGTTCCCCTGAATGCAACATTGCTCTCACAAAGGATTGTACCAGAAGGAACCACTTTAATAGGCCTCAATCCCTCCCATAACATCATTTCTCATGCACTTGCTTTCCTTCTCCTTATCTCTAAGCCTCTGGAGAAAGTGAGTCCATCTCTGTTGTATGTTCTGCCTCCGAAGTTCCAAGCACAAACATTCATCTCCCACATTTCTCTAAGCCAGCACTTCTGGCAGGTTCTCATAAGAACTGATATCGCTTTCTCCAGTCTCAGGGGAACTACTAGAAGATTCCAGAACAACTATCTTCAGGCCACTTCTATCCTCCTCTGAAGCTATTCCAGCATCCCTTTCCTCATCTTTTGAGCATTCAGAATCTGACCAGGCTGCAACAGAGAGAAAGTCAAAAAAAGGGAGAGGAAAAGCCAGGAGGAAACCTGCCCAAAGCCACAAGGTCACAGGAGCGCTGACGTCCCCGCTTTCTCTCCGTAAGCAGAAACAGAACATCCGGCAAGTCTGCCTTTGCGAGGGAAGGGTCACCGCCGACAGCTGGGGCTGATGCCTCCCTCCCGCCCACCTGCCTTGGCGGAAATCACATTCCAGCAGCGGAGTGTGCGTTCGTGTATCAAAGTGACCTTGTCAATTGATGGTTATATCGGCCGTTCAGGTGCAAAACTGTGCTGATGTTGTGAGTAGTTCAGGAAGGATTTCCTCCGACAGGCAGCCCCCAAGTTAGGAACAACATCAATTCTGTAAGTTTGTTCTTAAGATGAATTTGTATGCATGTCAGAACAGGGACCTTTCTGAACTGTAATTCCAGCCATACACATATATGTATACATACATATACATACACATATAATAATGTCGCAATATAATATATACTGTAGTGGAATTATATACAGTATTCGCTCACTTATCGCGGGTGTTACGTTCCAGGACCACCCACAAAAAGTGAAAATCCACAAAGTAGGGACACTATATTTATTTTAGTACTAGCTGTACCCGCCATGCGTTGCTGTGGCCAACCTTCCCTCCCTCTTTCTCTCCTTCCTTCCCTCTTTCCTTCCTTTCCTCTTTTTCTTTCCCTATCTCTCATCTTTCTTCCATCTCTACCTGTTTCTTTCCTCCCTTTCTTTGCTCTTTGGTTACATCCTTCCTTCCTTCCTTCCTTCCCTATCTTTTGTTCCTTCTCTCCTTCCTTCTCCTTCCAACACTCATCTTGTTGTGTTCCTAATAATAATAATAATAATAATAATAAATATTGGAAAGGAAGTCCTATTGAGGAGGGAATGGCTGTGTTTTCTGCTGCACCAATGGACTCATCTTGTTGTGTTTCTAATAATAATAATAATAATAATAATAATAATAATAATAATAATAATATTAATAGGAAGTGTTTGACTTGTGATTTTTTGATACAAAATCCAGCATATAGATTTCATTTGCTGTGACATACTGTGGTTTTGTGTCAGTAAAATAATAATAATAATGTATTGTCGAAGGCTTTCATGGCCAGAATCACTGAGTTGTTGTAGGTTTTCTTTCGGGCTATATGGCCATGTTTTAGAGGCATTCTCTCCTGACGTTTTGCATGCATCTATGGCAAGCATCCTCAGAGGTAGCATCCTCACTACCTCTGAGGATGCTTGCCATAGATGCAGGCGAAATGTCAGGAGAGAATGCCTCTAGAACATGGCCATATAGCCCGAAAGAAAACCTACAACAACCCAATAATAGTAATAATAATAACAATAATAATAATAATAGTCCTAGACAGTAGGGAAGTGTCCGACGTGTGATCCAATACAACCAGCAGAGCGATCTTGTTTGCTGTGTACTCATCTTGTTGTGTTTCAAATAATAATAATAATAATAATAATAATAATAATAATAATAATAATAGTAATGATAATAATAGTCCTAGACAATAGGGAAGTGTCCGATGTGTGATCCAATACAACCAGCAGAACGATCTTGTTTGCTGTGTATTCATCTTGCTGTGTTTCAAATAATAATAATAATAATAATAATAATAATAATAATAATAATGATGATGCGTTTTTGTAAACTCTGCTGGGCGGGAGAGAGGCAAGGAAGGGTCTAAAGGGGGACAAAATGGTCTGCATTATAATTCCATGCTATTTAACTCAATTCCAAACTCCAGGAGAGAACATAGACGGATAGCTCTCTGCCATGACGGATGTGCATGCATCTTGTCACCTGCTGAATGATGTCGATAAAGAGAAAATTGTTCTCTGAAGCCGCCGCCTTGATTGAAACCAATCCTTCTCTTTTCTCTCTCCATTTCGGCTGTCAATAGCTTTTCCCAAGAAAGAGAAGAACCAAGGCCTGACGGCAACCAAACGGCGCGGCGTCGCTCCGCATGGGCATTGCATTGCCGCATTGCTTCCAATGACGGAAATTTTCCAGAGGTTAAATTCTATGTTTTGCCTTTTTTCTGGATAATGACGGCTCCGATTCCTCCTGTCAAGCGGATTGCACACCTGAAGAGCGAGGCCTCCACTGGTTTTGTCACCTGGGTGGACGATCAATACCAGGCACCTTTGGCGCCATGCAAAACGCGCCTGCCCATCGTTTGGCATTAACCTTCATCTGCAGGAGCTTCCATCTAGGTCTCTTCTTATATTATCTGTAGTCTTGTGCGTGAGCAGTGTTTCTAAACATTGTTGGGCCTCGCCTCAAGCCATGAGGGTAAGAAATACAACAATAACAGCTTCTCTTCCTCTTCTTTCTCTTTGTTTTCCTCCTCTTCTTCCCCTCTTACCCATTCTTCTTCCTTCTCTTCTTTTTTCTCCTCTCCTTTCTCTTACACCCTCTTCTTTTTCTTCCTATTTTTCACCCTTCTCCCACCTCCTCATCTCTTTCTTCCTCTTCTCCTCTTCTTATTTCTCCTCCGCCTTGTTCTTCTTCTCCTCGTTCCTCATCCTCTTCTTCTTTTTCTTCCTCTTCTTCTGCCTCCTCTCCTTCTTCATCCTGCCCTTCCCTTCATCTTCTTCTTGTTTTTTATCTTCTTTTCCTTCCTTCCTCTTTTTTTCCTCCTTGATCTCCTTCTCCTCTTTTTTCTTCTTCTTTCTCCTACTCTTCTTCTCATTTTTCTTCTGCCTTTCTTTCCTACCTCCCTCTTCTCCTTTTCTTTTTCCTCCTCTTTTTCTCCCCCGTGATCTCCTCCCTCTTTTTTTCTTCTCCTTCTCCTCCTGTTCTTCTTTCTTTTCCTCCTCCTGCTCTCCTTCTTCCTCCTGCTCTTCTCATTTTTCTTCTGCCTTTCCTCCCTCCCTCCCTCCCTCTTCTTTTCCTCATTCTTCTTCTTCCTCTTCAGCCTCCTTTCCTTCTTCCTCATCTTCCTCTTCTTCCTGTTCTCATTCTTTTTTACCTCTTTCCTCTTCTTCTCCGTCTTCCTCCCACCCTTCCCTTCCTCTTCTTCTCCTTGTTCTTCATCTTATTTTCCTTCTTTCCTCCTCTCCTGTTCTTCCTCCTCTTTTTTCTCCTTTTCTCCTCCTTGATGTTCCCCTTTTTTTCTTTTCTCCTTCCTCTTCCTGCTCCCCTTCCTTCTTTTCCTCCTCCTGCTCTTCTTCTCATTTTTTTCTGCCTTTCCTTCCTCTCTCCTTCCTCCTCTTCTCCTTATTCTTTTTCTTCCTCCTCAACCTCCTTTCCTTCTTTCTCATCTTCCTCTTCTCATTCTTTTTCTCCCTCTCTTCTTCTTCTCCTTCTTCCTCCTGCCCTTCTCCTCCTCCTTGTTCTTCATCTTCTTTTCCTTCCTTCTCTTCTTCTTCTTTGACTACTTTGAATGCAATTTTCCTCCTTCTTCTTGGCAAGGGGTTGGAGGTCTCTTCCAGCTCTATAATTCTATGATCCTTCATCCTCCTCTTCTTTTGGGAACGCAGCTCATCAGAACAGCAGTTGCCCCTGAAGCCAAATGGGGCCTTGCAGGAAAGTCCCATCCTAGAGAGACTCCAAGGTAACGTGGTAATGAGGGCTCTCCTAAAATGTTATGTGGAGCAGAGCAGGCATTCGGGATGAAGGTCTAGTGAAGGCCCTTTTTGTTGGACCAAAGAGGGCCTTCAAAAATAAGGCTGACCCAGAGGGACACCTACCATGAAGGACCTGACCACCACGTCTGGCATCTGGGGCAACTGGTAGTGCAGGAGAGCTGTAGTGGCGTGGTCCGTGACCTGGGAAAAGAAAGGAACACTCATCAGGAAGACCGCAAAACAACATCCTTGACATCAGAAACTCATATTCCCTCAAGGTCTCTCCTCTGGACCTTCTCAGCAAAGAAATGACCCTACAAAGTTTCACTGAAGTTGGTCAATATTATTGATGCGGATTGAGAGGGACCCGGCAAGGTTCACTCTCACAGATCGACAGTGACCCTAACCAAGTTTTAATTGATGTTGGTCCACACTATCAACACTGATTGATAGTAACCCAATAAGGTTACGCCCATATTATCAGCAATGATTGACCTTGACTCTACATAAGTTTCATTCATGGCGGTCCATATTATTATCAATAATTAAAGGTTGACCCTTATAAGATTTCATCCATGGAGCTCCATATTATCGACACAGATTGACAGTGATGCTATAATGTTTCATCCATGGAAACCCATATTATTGACACTGACCCTATAAGTTTTCTTTCATGGAAACGTCTTATCAATACAGATTGACACTGACCCTCTAATATTTTATTTATGTAGCTCCATATTATCAATACAGATTGACATTGACCCTAAAAGGTTTCATTCACGGAGGTCCATATTATTAATGCTTATTAACAGTTGACCCTATAAGATTTCATTCAAGTAGCTTCATATTATTGACACCAATTGACATTGACCCTATGAGATTTCATTCACGAAACTCCATATTATCAATACAGATTGACATTGACCCTACAAGGATTCGTCCATGGATGTCAATATTATTAATACTGATTAAGAGTTGACTCTATAAGATTTCACCCATGTAGCTCCATATTATTGACACCAATTGACATTGACCCTATGAGATTTCATTCACAAAACTCCATATTATCAATACAGATTGACACTGACCCTACAAGGATTCGTCTATGGATGTCCATATTATTAATACTGATTAAAAGTTGACTCTATAAGATTCACCCACGTAGTTCCATATTATCAAGCCTGATTGATGTTGACCCTGTAAGATTTCATCCATGGAGTTCCATATTATTGACACCTATTGACATTGACCCTACAAGGTTTCATCCATAGAGCTCCATATTATTGACACCTATTGACATTGACCCTATAAGGTTTCATCTGTGTAGCTCCATATTATTGACACAGATTGACATTGACCCTATAAGGTTTCATCCATGGAGCTCCATATTATTGACATTGACTGTATATGGTTTCATTTATTTAGCTCCATATTATCAAAACAGGTTGACCCTACAAGGTTGCATTCATGAAGGTCCATCTTATTAACATTTATAAACCTACAAGGTTTCATTCAAGTAGCTTCACATTATTGACATCAATTGACATTGACCCTATGAGATTTCTTCATCCATGGAGCTCCATATCATCAACACAGATTGACACTGACCCTACAAGGTTTCATTTATGCAGCTCCATATTATCAATACAGGTTGACCCTACAAGGTTTCATTCATGGAGGTTCATATTATTAACAGTTGACTCTATAAGATTTCACTCAAGTATCTTCATAGTATTGACTCCGATTGACATTGACCCTATGGGATTTCATCCATGGATTTCCATATTATTGACACAGATTGACATTGACCCTATAAGGTTTTATCCACGGAGCTTCATATTATTGACACTGACTGTACAAGGTTTCATTTATGTAGCTCCATATTATCAAAACAGGTTGACCCTACAAGGTTTCATTCATGAAGGTCCATCTTATTAACACTGATTAACTGTTGATCTTATAAGATTTTATTCAAGTAGCTTCATATTATTGACATTGACCCTATGAGAGTTCTTCATCCAGGAATATCCATATTATTGACATAGACTGACACTGACCTTAAAAGGTTTCATCTGTGTAGCTCCATAATGTTGACACTGATTGATGTTGACCCTATAAGGTTTCATCAATGGAGTTCCATATTATTGACACCTATTGACATTGACCTTACAAGGTTTCATTTATGTAGCTCCATAGTATCAAAACAGGTTGACCCTACAAGGTTTCATTCGTGAAGGTTCATCTTATTAACACTGATTAACAGTTGACCCTATAAGATTTCATTCAAGTAGCTTCATATTATTGACATTGATTGACATTGACCCTATGAGATTTCTTCAACCAGGAATATCCATATTATTGACATAGACTGACATTGACCCTATAAGGCAGTGGTTCTCAATCTGGGGAAGCCAGGTTGAGAACCACTGCTATAAGGTTTCATTTGTGAAGCTCCATATTGTTGACACTGATTGACGTTGACCCTATAAGGTTTCATTAACGAAGTTCCACATTATTGACACCTATTGACATTGACCCTACAAGGTTTCATTTATGTAGCTCCATATTATCAGGTGGACCCTACAATATTTCATTCACGGAGGTCTAAATTATTAACAGTGATTAACAGTTGACCCTATAGGGTTTCATTCATGTATCTTCATGTTATTGACATTGATTGACATTGACCCTATGAGATTTTTTCATCCAGGAATTTCCATATTATTGACATAGACTGACATTGACCCTATAAGGTTTCATCAATGGAGTTCCATATTATTGACACCTACTGACATTAATCCTACAAGGTTTCATTTCTGTAGCTCCATATTATCAATACAGGTTGACCCTACAAGGTTTCATTCATGGAGGTCCATATTATTAACAGTTGACCCTATAAGATTTCATTCAAGTAGCTTCATATTATTGACACTGACCCTATGAGATTTCTTCATCCAGGAATATCCATATTATTGACATAGACTGACACTGACCCCATAAGGCAGTGGTTCTCAACCTGGGGTCCCCAGATGTTTTTGGCCTTCCAAATCCCAGAAATTCTAACAGCTGGTAAACTGGCTGGGATTTCTGGGAGTTGTAGGCCAAAAACTTCTGGGGACGCCAGGTTGAGAACCACTGCTATAAGGTTTCATTTGTGAAGCTCTATATTGTTGACACTGATTGACGTTGACCGTATAAGGTTTCATCAATGGAGTTCCATATTATTGACACCTATTGACATTGACCCTACAAGGTTTCATTTATGTAGCTCCATATTATCAATACAGGTTGACCTTACAAGATTTCATTCATGGAGGTCCATATTATTAACAGTTGACCCTATAAGATTTCATTCAAGTAGCTTCATATTATTGACATTGGTTGACATTGACCCTATGAGATTTCTTCATCAATGAAGCTCCATATTATTGACACAGATTGACACTGACCCTATAAGGTTTCATCCATAGAGCTCCATATTATTGACATTATTGACACTGACTCTACAAGATTTCATTTATGTAGCTACACATTATCAATTCAGGTTGACCCTACAAGATTTCATTCACGGAGGTTGGCTCTGCATCTCGTGGTGCCAGAGCGCAGTCTGTTCAGCGCCTTCCAAGTCGCCCAGTCTTCTGTGTGCCCAGGAGGGAGCCTCTCATCTGGTATCACCTACGGATTGAGGTGCTGGATTTGAGCCTGCCACTTCTGGACTCTCACTTGCTGAGATGTTCCAGCGAGTGTCTCTGTAGATCTAAGAAAACAATGTCTTGATTTAAGTCGTTGACGTGCTGGCTGATACCCAAACAAGGGATGAGCTGGAGATGTCTCTGCCTTGGTCTTTCACTATTGGCTGCTACTTCCCGGCGGATGTCAGGTGGTGCAGTGCCGGCTAAGCAGTGTAATTTCTCCAGTGGTGTAGGGCGCAGACACCCCGTGATAATGCGGCATGTCTCATTAAGAGCCACAGCCACTGTTTTAGTGTGGTGAGATGTGTTACACACTGGACATGCATACTCAGCAGCAGAGTAGCATAGCGCAAGGGCAGATGTCTTCACTTTGTCTGGTTGTGATCCCCAGGTTGTGCCAGTCAGCTTCCGTACGATATTGTTTCTAGTGCCCACTTTTTGCTTGATGTTCAGGCAGTGCTTCTTGTAGGTCAGAGCACGGTCCAGAGTGACTCCCAGGTATTTGGGTGCGCTGCAATGCTCCAGTGGGATCCCTTCCCAGGTGATCTTCAGAGCTCAGGATGCTTGTCTGTTCTTAAGGTGAAAGGCACATGTCTGTGTTTTAGATGGATTAGGGATCAGTTGGTTTTCCCTGTAATAGACAGTTAGAGCACCTAGAGCTTTGGAGAGCTTCTGTTCAACCATCTCATAGCTCCCTGCTTGAGCAGTGATGGCACGATCATCAGCATAGATGAAACTCTCTGTCCCTTCTGGCAGTGGCTGGTCATTTGTGTAGATGTTAAACATGGATGGAGCGAGCACACTCCCCTGAGGCACTGTTAGGCCCTCATAAATTTCATCATATTATTAACACTGATTAACAGTTGACACTATAGCGTTTCATTCATGTAGCTCCATATTATTTACATTGATTGACATTGACCCTATGAGATTTCATCCATGGATCTCCTTATTATTGACACAGACTGACATTGACCCTACGAGATTTCACCTATGTAGGTCTATATCATCAATGAGGATTGACAGTGACAATGTTTGGGATGGGAACCCCAATTGCGGGGATGAATTCCCTATCCTAAGGCATTGATCTGGGGCCGTTGCCCTTTTTTGTGGGTCTCTGGTTTGCAAAGGAAGGGATGCCCCTCAAGGATGGAAGTCCTCAGCTCAGCTGCTGGCAAAATATTGACACAGCTGTCCCCCGCTGACGCACGGCAAACTCCTTGAATTAAGAGCACCAAAGAGCTTTCGAGAGGGTCGTTAACATAATTAGTGGCCTTGAGGGCTGCGCTTCTGGGCTCCGAGGGCCATGGAGAGCCCAGGCTTGATTTATGGAGCCTCTCAAGTGGGGAACTCTTCAGCAACGCTCCGAGCAGAAGTCCGCATTTCCGCCGGCTCCCTCTTGTTCTTCCCCAAATCTTTACATTCCAAATTAGTCCCACTCGCTTCCATCTAATTTTGCTGATGACGCAGGCAACTTGTTTGCTACTGTGACGGAGGGAAAGGATTCAT